ACTAACTTTTAAAATATAGAACAGACTCTTGGAACTGGAAAGACTGTTTATGGAAGATTTGTGTGCTTTTGTATTTTAAATTCTTTAGGCTGCTGCTAAGGCAGTTTCTAGTGCACATGTTTTTTCTTCGCGTTTCTTGACTAGTGTAGGATGTGGTGTATTTAAATATTCTCTGCTTCATAATTCTTATATGAACACTAATATATTGGTAGACAAGTAAGCTAAATTGTGTATTTTAGTTACTTGGCCTAATCAAGCATAACCAAAGGGTTTTTTTTGTTTTGTTTTGTTTTGTTTGTACTTTCCTCAGATTAAGCTAACATGAAAAGGGTATATTGGTCACATTTCATGTCTTTTGAAACAGAGAATTGTGAAGCATGTTCATCAGCCTACACTAGAAACATTGCTCTTTAACTGTAGAGTATTTGAGAAACAACTCAGTCTCCCTTTTAACTGTCATACATTTTGGCACAGTTCATCACTCCAGTTTGTTAATCTCTTGAGAGTAGTCCATTTTTGTTTTTGTTAATGTTCTGGTCATTGGAAACAAAAGAGCTCATAGTTGAGTGATGTAATACAATAACAATATAGTAGTCATTTTGCTTCAAAGAATTTAGTTAGCCAAATAACTGCTATTTATTGCTTACCTTTGTGAGGCTTTCGTCTGCCCTATATGACCATTTCTGCAACAGTGAAGCACATACGATAGAGCACTTAGTAACTTAATCCTCCTGCCTTTTGCACTCGCGAAAAGTAGTGCTTGCTAGACGTGTGAAGATCTTAGGATCCCTGTGCTTAGGGCTCATTGAGTTATTTGTGACATCAATACTTAGTTCCAGCGATGTACAGTGAGTTTTGGGGGCTAGCAGTATCCAAGCCCCTATTCTACTGAAAGAATAATTTTGACTATCTCCTGCAAGCCAGAGGAGATGTGGAACGTAAGATACTTTGAGACATGACGTTGTGTAACAGCTTGTTTTATGTTCCCGAAGCTATCTTGTTCTGTGTTAAAGCTACTAATGGTCTCAATCTAAGCTTTAAATAAACGTATTTCACTAGAGCTGGTTTGCATTGTGTGATTTTTCCTTTTAAGTACGTGCTGTTGAATGTAATTGCTTTCTTCCCTGAACCCTTTTACTCCCTCGTTCGTCCAACCCCTGGCTCCCTTATGGTGAACATTTTCCAGTACTCTTACAAGTTTAAACACTGCATTTATTTTAAAAAAGAATTAATTCTTATTGCTTAGACTTTTTATTAGCTAAATGAAGAGGCTCATACAGGTAAGGTGCTTGTTGAAGCGGAGTACTTGACTTCATCTCGCAGTGCTAATCCTGTGAAGTTGTCCCTTCTAGCTGCGTACTCCCCGACGTTGGCCAGCCCCGGCACCACGCAGCAGCTCAGGGCACTGCGGTATATGCTCATGTCGTGGGCGTCATACCACTCGTCAGTCTTCTCGTCATAGCACTCCACGTTGAAGGTGGTGGTGAAGCCGTTGAAGCCGCCCACCACGAACAGGAGGTCGTCCACCACCTCGATGCCGAAATTGCTACGAGGGTTAAACATGGTGGGGATCGTGCGCCAGGTGTTGGCCACCGGGCTGTAGGCTTCTGCACTCCTGAGTCGGTTGGCTCCGTCAAAGCCGCCTACCTGTGGGCAGCAACGGGAACAGGATTTACTGTTTGCCTGGACTCTGTTCCCCAGGAGGCCCTCGGAGGGGAGGGCCAGTGACCTCACCTCCCTCTCCCGCTTTCTGCCATGGAACAAAACCTCTCCAAGTGCTTACCACTGGTCGCATGATAGAAAAATGGAGGGGATCGTTTTTGTGGTGGTACACGATCAACTCACCGCATATACGTGTTCTCCATAAGCGATTACGCCTATTCCACTCCTCCTGCTTCTCATGGGTGCTATGACTGTCCACTGATTACTCTCAGTGTTGTACACTTCGGCTGTGAACAGGCATTCATTTCCATTGAACCCACCACATATGTAGACCTGTGTGAAGACAGTTTTAAGATTATTAAAATGGTTACCTCTGGAGTATGAACGGGTGTGTACATGGTGTGTTTGTGTGTGGGGGGTGCTTTTATACCAGTCTGTTATTGATTTTAGATCGAGAGGAAGGGAGGAGAGAGAGAGAAACATCAACCCGCTAGTCCACCCATTCATGCACTCATTGGTTGACCTTTGTATGTGCCCTGACCAGGACTCAAAGCCAAAACTCTGGCACATCAGGACAATGCCACAGCCAACCGAGCCCCCAGCCGGGGGCACTCTGAGCCGCTTTTTTCCACATGTACATGCATTGCTCTTTATTTTGACTCTTTTTGTGGTTATACTCTCAGAGTCTATTACAGTGAAAAGATACAAATAAAAACTCAGCCGGGGGAAGAGATTCATGGGTCAGAATGAGTCAACTAAGAAAAGACAGTTACAAAGGGTCCCTTAGTCATTGCATGAAAGGGTTTGAATTGCCAAGAAGACTGCCATTTCTGTTTTCCATCCACCCCCCCAGAAAGAAGAGCATTATTTCCGGGCTTGTTTGCTTTCACATTCCCCCCCCCCCCCCAATTTTTTTACCTTTCCGTACAGTGTCGTGGCACTCGCATCGCTCCTCTGCTCATGCATGGGCGCGATGAGTGTCCACTGGTTGGTCTCCGGCTCGTAGCGCTCGGCGGTGTTGAGACGCACGTAGCCGTCGAACCCGCCCATGGCGTAGATGAAGTTGCTGAGGACCGTCACGCTGACGTAGCAGCGTCGGGAGTGCATCGGGGCCACCTGGTGCCAGGTTTTCTTGACTGGGTCAAAACGCTTCACGCTATTGAAGTAGTCTACACTATCGAACCCCCCGATGATATACACGTAGCCTTTGAGGTAGGCCGCCCCGTGGTAGGCACGGGGGCTCTCCTCTTCGCAAGTGACGTTCACCCATCTGTCTGCCCGCGCATCATACGCCTCAATGGCATTGGTGGGGCTCCCGCCGCTCCAGCCACCAATGGCAAACAGGATGGCGTAGGGTAGGCGGGGCCGGGTGAGTGGGTTGGTAAAGTCAGAATTAGAGGGTCCATTCATGTTCAGGTCATACATGGCTTTGAGGGCATTAATGATGACTGGCTTGCATTCCTCACTGTCTTTGACATAGTCATTCATCTTCACATTGTTCATGAAGTACTCCGCATGCATCAGGGCCAGGCGGACCTGAGGAGGAAACGCAGCAAGTCATTTAAAAAAGCGAGGCGAGGAGGCCTGCCTTTGAACCGCAGCAGGGCCTTTTTGACATTTACAGCTTATAGTTTAAGTATCTGTTTTTAAGAGGTGGTATGCATTTGGATCCTGAGAATGAGCTGGAAAATGATCAGCAAGCTAGCTCATTCCTTGACCACCAGATTATACTACTAGACCAAAAAAAGGTTGAAGTAATTTTTCTGTAAATGAATATCTGTCTCCGTATGTAAAATAACACGAATTAGCATCAAATGGCTACTACTCCAGTTTCTTTCTCCCTTGGGTTTAGGGAAACTCAGAATGGACAAAGTTAAAAAGAAGACTAGAATTCTTTTGAAGGCCTTGCCCTCTCCTTCCCCCACAGCCAGGGAGAATTTTTGTCAAAGACTAAAACTGTGGGGTAGAGGGAGGGGGGCGAAATGGCCTGGCTGGTGTGGCTCTGCTGGTTGGAGCATCGTCTGTACACCAAAAGGTGGCTGGTTCGATTCCCAGTCAGGGCATACACCCAGGTTGCAGATGCTACCCTGGTCGTCGGGCGAGCAGCAGGCAACCGACTCACATTGATGTTTGTCTCCCTTCCTCTCCCTAAAAAAGAAAAATAAATATAAACAAAAGAACTGGGATAAAAGGAACTAGCAATGTCAAGGGCAAAGAAAAATTGCAAAATTCCAGAAACTAGTAGGAGATGCCTTCTGTACACGTATATGTTAAACACAGCCCTGGAGTCTGTCACACATCTGACTATAGCTCTTAGGACAACCCGACTGGGATAAATGAGTCAAAAGTGGTCAACTAAGCATCCTTAAAAAAAAGTAATTAAACTTGACCTTGGGAAGCAAAACTGAAATATGCTGCTTCCTGCTTTGGGGGTCATGAGCAATCCATTTTAAAATGGCCTCAAACACAGCATCTTCCTGTTTGACGTTCAGCTCGTCTTTCTCGATGATATCCTTCAGTTCAATGACGGAGAGCTCCAGAAACTCTGCCGAGACTTTCACCATCTCCTCGAAGTTGTGCAGGATGAACATGTAGGCCTTCTGCCTGAGTTCCGGGCAGTAGTAGTAGTCCGTGAACTTGCAGATGCCGATACAGTTATCCAGACACAGCTCTGCCTTGAGGAACTCGCAGCAACCCCTGACAATACCCATGATGTTGAACTGGTCCGCCGCAGCCAGCAGCTTCTCCACATTGTCGGGCGTGATGGGCACGGTCCTGGTATACGCATATTCAATAATCAGCTTCATCATGTCGGGGGAGATGCCGGGAATGTTGTATACCTTCTTTTCAGTGTTGTTCCAGCCACTTGTAAACAAAGCTCTGGAAAAAGGGGAGAAACGAGCAGTCACTGAAACATTTCCCTCCAGGCGACCATGTTCTCCCCGCTTTTTTCTTGTTGGGGAGTTTGGATATTTTCCAAAGAGCCCATTGAAAATAAATAGGCGAGGGGAAGGGCAGGCTGCTTTATACGGAGGGTGAGAGAACCTTCCCAAGAACTTTGATTGTGGTCACTCTTATCCTCGTGATCACCATATCCTTTTCCCATTTGGGGATGGAAAAATTGGGATCTGGCCCTGACCAGCTTGGCTCAGTGGATAGAGCGTTGGCCTGCGGACTCAAGGGTCCGGGGTTCGATTCCGGTCAAGGGCATGTGCCTTGGTTGCAGGCACATCCCCAGTGGGGAGTGTGCAGGAGGCAGCTGATTGGTGTTTCTAACTTTCTATCCCTCTCCCTTCCTCTCTGTAAAGAGTCAATAAAATATTTTAAAAAAAGAAAAATTGGGATCTAGAGCTAGGTGTAAGACCCAGGTCTCTCTGTCTCAACCCCATTGCCCACCAAATTCAAGTAATCTTCAACACATATCACAATACAATCAATTCTATTGCTACCCCCAGTAAGGAAGTGTGCAGGAGGCAGCTGAATCGATGTTTCTCTCTCATCGATGTTTCTAACTCTCTATACCTCTCCCTTCCTCTCTGTAAAAAATCAATAAAATATATTATAAAAAAACCACAAAAAACAAAAACCTGTGAGATCTGAGCCAGCCACACCTCTCTGATGCGTTCCTTGAACACATCAGAGATGCTTCCATCTTTGGGCTTTACCTGCTCGCTCTTCTGCCTGGAATTCTGCCCAGATCTCTCTATTTCTCAATCCTTCATTCCCTTGCAGTCTTTGCTCAAATTTAACTTTGTCAAAAAGTTATCACTTTTAAAATTGCCATCCACCGGCAATCTTGTTTTTTCTTAGCACTTACAATCTGATACGTATTTTATTTATTTAATGTCTCTTCTCCCTACCAGAAGGTAAGCTTTATGAGGGCAGGAATGTTTACCTCTTTATTCATTGTTTTATTTCCAGTACCCACTATAGTGCTGGTCACAAAATAGGCACTTAATAAATAGCTATTGAATAAATAAGTGAGTAGTATTCCACTCTGTAGCTAGGTACTGAATAAGACAGAATTCCCTTCCATAATATATTTTGCTTCCTTTTTCTAGGAGGTCTCAGGGACTATGGGCTTAGAGATAAAATTCTCCTCTAGAGCAGGGGTCTGTAAATACAGCCAAATTCCAACCACGTCTTCTTTTTGTACTGCCCACGAGGTAAGAATATTTTTTACATTTTTTTAAATGGGGTAAAAATGAAATTATAATAAATTCAAATTTCAGTGTCCTTTCATTTAGTATTATCTATGGCTGCTTTCCCACTCTAAAGGCAGAGTGGAGTAGTTGCATGTGAGAGAGACTGCAAAGCTTACAGCATGTGCTATCTGGTCTCTTTATAGACCCTGCGATAGATCAAAATGAGAATTTTTAGCAACAGGTGGGACACATTTATCATATCTTGATTGGAATTGATTACGCAAACATTTTCAGCTCATGAACCAAATAGCCCTTCCATTTCCTGGGTTACAATGGTTTGGACACAACCCCCCCCCCCCCTCTCTTTTCTTCTGATAAATATTTATGTGGTTCTCCTGCATCCCCCTTCCCATCCCCTCAATCCTTGATAATTGATCACCCTGTTCAAGCTTGTCTCTATGGGGCCAGGGGGATAGGGGTGGTTGAAGTGGCATTACTAGTATTATCTAGGTTTAAGTAGGAAACCCAGTATATAATAGTTTGAGTGAGAAAAGGAAAAAGCAGCTGGCTCACCAAGAGTTGGTTGAAATCCAAATTGAAAGTCAAAGAGAAGAGAATCAGGCCCTAGCTGTGCCCCTTCAGATGACAACGGAGCCAGGCTACCCTCCGGAGCCCCGTGCTTTGACAGTGTCCCCAAACTCAAGACAGTCGGGTGGGAAACACGAAACGAACCACGTCTAAAATGCACCCCATCCCCCCTCAGGCTCAGTCCGGCCGCCCTATCGGTACCTAAAGTAGGAACTGCAGCTACAGAGGATGTTCTTGTGGGCATTGAACTCAAAGCCATTGACCTTGATGACCACGTCGCAGAGCTTGCCCTCTAGCCTAAGCTCGTTGAAGATCTCACAGGTCATCGCACTCATCTTCCTCTCCATGTGAGGTTGGTGGAAACGCGTGGAGGCCGCCTTGTTCTCCATCTCCATGGCACCCTGGGGCCAGCCAAGGGAGGCTGTTCTCCGAGGGTGTCGGGGAGGGTTGTGGGGGGCCCCTTCAGCCAGCTGTCGCTCCTTTTCCCTACTACATCTTTCATGTAGGGTCCATTAGGCAGCCCAAGTTCCAGAATCCTGGGCCTGAGTGAGATCACTCGCAGGATTGTGCTCTCAGGTTCTGGAATTCTCTCCAATTGAAAACCAAGGAGGAGGAGGTCTGGCCCTCGTGGTGCCTCTTCAGATGACCAAGGAGCCCAGTGCTCTGACAGTGTCCCCAAACTTCAGATGGCGGGGTGGGGAACGTGACATGAACCAAGATGTCTCACATGCGCCCAGTTCCCCCTTAGGCTTAGTTGGGCAACCCTATTACGTCTAAAGTCCCTGTCCTCCTGCCTTCTCCCCTTCCCACTGCACCGCCAGCTAAAGATCACCCCACACCTGCACCCATGTCCTTGTACCCCGAGCAGGACCATGGCCATCAACACCATGTAAGAGGTTTGTTTGTTTGTTTGTTTAAAGATATATTTTATTTATTTTTACAGAGAGGAAGGGAGAGGGATAGAGAGCTAGAAACATCGATGAGAGAGAAACAGCGACCAGCTGCCTCCTGCACACCTCCCACTGGGGATGTGCCCCCAACCAAGGCACATGCCCTTGACCGGAATCGAACCTGGGACCCTTCGGTCCGCAGGCTGATGCTCTATCCTCTGAGCCAAACCGGTCAGGGGCATGTAAGAGTTTTTATTAATCAGTTCTGGTTCCTGTTGCCCACTTCGCATCCCCGTGGCATCCATCCACCCTCCTCCACAGCTCCCCCCTGGCTCCCCAGCCTCCGTGTTCATGGAAACCAGGCCCGAGGAGGCAGAAGGGAGATGCAGAATGGATGACCCTTGCACCTCGGCCCGGCTGCCCAGGCCTCTCCTGGCCTCTGGACGCGAGGTAGACACTCACTGTCTCCTGAGGAGGCCCAGGACCGCCTCTGGATGGGGAACAGAACCGTTTTTGGGCGCCTTTTCCTGCCCTCCCCTGCCCTCCCCTCCCCTCAACCCTGCGGCCTTTCCATCCTGCAAATTGGAAGCCAGAAGCCACCTTGCTTGCTGGGGTTTTTGCTCTAGAGAGAGTGGCACCCCCTGACCCCAATTCCTTGGCACCGTCACCCTCAACACAGAGCCCCCGCGTGGGGCGCGGCGCCCCCGGCCCGCCCCCGCAGGCCCCGCCCGGTGCGCTCCGGGGCGGGACGGGCCTGCGCAGTGCGGCGGCGGGGCGGGCACGGCGGCCGGCGGCCGGCGGCGGGCACCATGGCGGAGGAGGTGAGGCGGGAGGGACCGGCCCGCGAGGCGCGGGCCCCGACCCCCCGGGCGCGCCGAGGCCTCCAGCGGGGCGCCCGGGCCCGCCGCGGCCAGTAGCGCCCCAGCCCGGCCGGAGCCCCCGCTGCACCCCCGCTGCCCTCGGGCCCGGCGCCGGGGTCACCGTTCTCTGGGTCTCGGGCAGGTGCGCCCCCTGATGAAGGCCACGGTCCTGATGCGGCAGCCCGGGCGGGTGCAGGAGATCGTGGGCGCCCTCCGCAGGGGCGGGCGGGACCGCCTGCAGGTACCGCGGGGCTGGGGGCGGGCGCGGGGGGCGCGGGGCGTCCTGCCGAGGAGCCGCCCGTCTGGCTGCGGCACCTGCAAGCCCTCAGCCTCTAGGAATGGCCCGGGGCCTGGGGCAAGCGGGTGGGTTCGCCCGTTTGGGGAAGAGCCCCCCCTGCTCTGCAGGGTCGTGCTGCTTCCTCTGATGGGGCAGAAAGCACCCACCCAGACCCTGGGCCTCTTTCCCCACACTCCCCAGCGCGGCGGGCTCCCCAGGAAACCGCCAATGTGGAGGGAGATGGGCCCTGAAGGAAGGGCCTGGGGCGCCCAGATGGGTGCTATTGAAAGAGCCCAAGGGATCGTGATTCTTAGCACTCCCTTCCGCCTACCCCAGGTTGGGCCCCCTGAGGGTTAGCGCTGAGCTACTGGGATTAGGCCTCCCTCCCTCCGGAGCCCTCCCTGACCCCCCATCTGGACGCTGAGCCCTCGGACTTTCATCATCATCCTCCTCCAGGCGGCGGCGGCGGAGGCGGGGCCACCCCAGGAGGAGCCCCCCTAGGCGTCATCTCTCTCTTGCATTTCAGGTCATTTCTGACTTTGACAGGACCCTGAGCAGATTTGCCTATAACGGGAAGCCCTGCCCTTCTTCCTACAGTAAGTCAGTCCCCTGCCAGCTTGCCTTGTTGGGCCCGACAGGGCGATGGCTTCTGAGGGGGGAGTGAAGGGAGCTTTGTGTTTTTGCAGATATTCTGGACGACAGCAAGATCATCAGCGAGGAGTGCCGGGAGAAGGTGAGCTCGCCCCTCCTCCGCTCAGCATTGCTGTCCTGTGTTACTTCGCGTGGCTCCTGCTTAGGATCGGAGAGTCCAGATGCGGCGCCCCCGGGCCAGCCGGCCTCCCAGACCTTCGAAGACGAAGGGAACGTTTTTTGGTGTTCTTTCGCTCAGGGGGACCTGTGTTAGTACATTGGGAGAGCTTCTCCGTGTTGGCCAAGACAGATGGTTCCTGGCAGGGGGACCTGACCCTGGGCGGGGGAATGCCTCGGGCCAACCCAGAGTGTGTGGGTTCTTGACTTAGTGCAGGAAAAACTTCACAGCACCAATCAGTGAATGGAGCGTCGGCCTGCGGACGGAAGGGTCCCAGGTTCGATTCCGGTCAAGGGCATGTGCTTTGGTTGTGGGCACATCCCCTGTTGGGGGTGTGCAGGAGGCAGCTGATTGATGTTTCTCTCTCGTCGAAGTTTCTGACTCTCTATTCCTCTCTCTTCCTCTCTGTAAAAAAAAAAAAAAAAAATCAATTTATATATATATATATATATATATATATATATATATATATATTTAAAGTATTGTGAATTTTATTTTTTTCTATTTTTTTATTATTCTTTTAATATATTTTATTATTGATTTTTTTACAGAGAGGAAGGGAGAGGGATAGAAAGCTAGAAACATCGATGAGAGAAACATCAACCAGCTGCCTCCTGCATACCTCCTACTGGGGATGTGCCCGAAAACCAAGGTACATGCCCTTAACTGGAATCGAACCTGGGACCGTCCAGTTCTCGGACCGATTCTCTATCCACTGAGCCAAACCGGTTTTGGCGATAAAATATATATTAAAAAATAAAAAAGAAAAGAAGCTGGGGACAGTGGAACAAGGAGGGGCTGGGGAAATGAGCCTAGGCTGGGCTGCTTGGCTCACAAAGACATCAGAGAAAAGGGGGCTTTGCGGAGGTTTAGGGGGTTTGCCCGGGATGAACTGCTGCTGCCACCCAGCCCATCGCTGCCCAGGTTGCAAGAAGGGGGAGAGGGGTAGAGCCTGAGGGCTCCTGGCACTGGGTTCTTTTATCTCTCTCTCGTAGGCGGGAATCTTAGGGAGGGTTTCAGTGGAATAGTCATCCCTTTTCTTGGTGTGCTGCTCCAGGTCCTGGTCTCCACCGATGGGCCAGTGTCAGGCAGGGCGTCTGTTAGTCATGGCAGCTGGTCCTGGGTCCCCCGCCTGCTTTTGCTGTCTTCTCGGGCCTGGAGCTGAACTGTAACTGAGGCCTAGACGTTATCTCTAGGGAGGTGACCTTCTGTATCTGCTGTACATTGCTCTTCCGTTTGTTCAGCTGTCTGTTCCCTGCGCCACTTGTCCTGGCTTTCGGGCGTGTCTCAGGATGATAATGGGTAGTTGGAGTTGTGGGTGTTATGCTCATGGTTAGCTATAGAGTTTACAAGAGACTTCAGTGTTCGTTATGTAACCCCACAACTTCAAGAGGGGACTGGATCCATTATTGTCTCCACCTAACAGATGGGAAAGCGGGTTTGGAGACATAGAGCAACTTACCCAAGGACACATGTGCCCTTGAATAGAATTGAACCTGGGACCCGTCAGTCTGCAGGTGGAAACTCTGTCCACTGAGCCAAATCTATCAGGGCAGGAGCTCTCTGTCTTGGTCAGTGTGTGATCTTTGCATTTAACCCCATACACACACACACACACACACACACACACACACATATTAGTGTATGTGTGTATATTTCATTATTGATTTCAGAGAGGAAGGGAGAGGGAGAGATAGAAACATTAATGATGAGAGAGAATCATGGGTCAGCTGCCTCCTACTTGCCCCCTACTGGGGATTGAGCCCACAACCTGGGCATGTGCCCCTACCAGGAATCAAACCGTTACCTTCTGGTTCATAGATCACAGATCAACCACTGAGCCACACCCATCGGCCTGATTTTTTTTTCTTGTGCTGAACAGTAGGACTTTGCTGGGGAAAACCTGAGAGACTAATGGCTTTTCTCTTCTTTGGCTGCCCCAGCTGAAGGCGCTCCTTCACCAATATTACCCAATTGAGATTGACCCACAGCGGACCGCCAAGGAGAAGGCGCCTCATATGGTGGAGTGGTGAGTGGTGGTGAACGCCCTTGCCTTTCCTTGCGGCGGTCTGGCCTGGGAGGGGCTGGTTTTCCAGAGCTTTGATGAGATGACAGACTTCCTTAACTTACTGGATGCTTAACTGAATGCCACAGGCCCAACTAGTAGAACCGATTGTCCAGACACACCTGGAGCTACTGTGACAGCTGCTGGCATGGTGGCCCGCCAAGCATCCTCGGATGAGTTAGAAGCCCCTAGGTGTGGGGGAGTCCATGCTTTGGAAGATAACCTTCCTGTAGAAACCAGTACCCCTGGACAGAGCCCCAGTTCTCCGAGTGAGCTCACGGAGGAAGGGGTTCAGAAGAGCTTTGACTTCAGCAGTTAACTCATCTACCTCTTGTGTCCAAGTCATGTTGCCTTCTCACAGTCTTGTTTTGTGTTTTATTAATCCTCACCCAAGGATATGCTTATTAATTCTAGAGCAGTGGTTCTCAACCTTCCTATTGCCACAACCCTTTAATACATTTCCCCAACCATAAAATTATTTTAGTTGCTACTACATAACTGTACTTTTGCTACTGTTATGAATCGTAATGTAAATGTCTGTGTTTTCCGATGGTCTTAGGCGACCCCTGTGAAAGGGTCGTTCGGCCCCTAAAGGGGTCATGACTCATAGGTTGAGAACGCTGGTCTAGAGCAAGGGGAACGGGGAGAGAGTGAGAGAGAATGTGGATTGGTTATCTTTATTTTTAAAATGTTTTTATTGATTTTTAGATAAGGAATAAGGGAGGCGGGGGGGGGGGAGGGAGAGAGAGAGAAACATCAATGAGAGAGACACATCTATCAGCTGCCTGCTGCACACCTCCTACTGGGGATGGTGCCTACAATCCAGGCATGTGCCCTGACTGGGTATTGAACCCAGAACCTCTTAGTTCATGGGACGATGCTCCATCTACTGAGCCACGCCAGCCAGGCTCCATTGGTTATTTTCTGTATATATCCTGACTAGGGATTGAACCCGCAACCCAGGTATGTGCCTTGACCAGGAAACGAAACTGCAGCCTTTAGGTTTAACGGGATGAAGCTCCAACCAACCGAGCCATGCATGCTGGGCTCACCCTCCTTTTTTTTTTTTTTTTAATATATTTTATTGATTTTTTACAGAGAGGAAGGGAGAAGGATAGAGAGCTAGAAACATCGATGAGAGAGAGTCATCGATCAGCTGCTTCTTGCACACCCCCTACCAGGGATGTGCCTGCAACCCAGGTACATGCCCTTGACCGGAATGGAACCTGGGACCCTTCAGTCCTCAAGCCGACGCTCTATCCGTTGAGCCAAACCGGTTTCAGCTCACCCTCCTTTTTTAAGGACAGCCAGGGTTCTCCAGGAAATGGTTCCGTGGAAACGGATGAGGCCACCTCCATTGTCAGTGCTTTCAGAGGGGACTTGGCCCTGAGAAGGGAAAGGTCATCTTGCTGATCTGAATCGGGGGTCTGCGGGGTGTTTGTGTGTAGGTGGACCAAAGCACACGATCTCCTGTGTCAGCAGAAGATTCAGAAGTCTCAGATAGCCCAGGTGGTCAGAGAGTCCAACGCCATGCTGAGGTAAGCTACGTGCTGTGGGGAACATTGCGAACTGGTTTGCTCACAAAGAGAGGCTGGAAGAGGGAGGAGAGGAGTTAGTTGCTGGGAGTTAGGAGAGACCTGGCGCCATGAAGGGGGAAGGTTTTGCTTTCCCTCTCTGGCTGTGGCTAAAGAATGTCCTACACTTGGGTACTTCCTTGGAAGCAGTCTGCTGGTAGTGTGTGTGTTGTTCTACACTATTTAAAAAATTTTATTTTTACTTATTTATAAATATTATTTTTATTATTTCTGGAAGGGAGAGAGAGATAGAAATATCAGTCATGACAGAGAATCATTGATCAGCTGCCTCCTGCACGCCCCACACTGGGAATCGAGCCCACAACCTGGGCATGTGCTCTGACGGGGAATCGAACCGGCAACCTTTCCAAGCGTGGGACGACGCCCAGTCAGCTGAGCCACATCGATCAGGGCCATGCCGTTTTCTATAAGAGACTTGAGCCAAAACTGGTTTGGCTCAGTGGTAGAGCGTCGGTCTGCGGACTGAAAGGTCCCAGGTTTGATTCTGGTCAAGGGCATGTACGTTGGTTGCGGGCACATCCCCGGTAGGGGGCGTGCAAGAGGCAGCTGGTCGATGTTTCTCTCTCATGGACGTTTCTAGCTCTCTATCCCTCTCCCTTTCGCTCTGTAAAAAATCAATAAAATATAAAAAAAAAAAAAAAAAAAGAGAGAGAGAGAGAGAGAGAGAGAGAGAGAGAGAGAGAGAGACAGACTTGAGCAGCCTTGGGTGTTGGTATCCGTGGGGTCTTAGAGCCAATCCCCCCGCAGATGCTGAGGGACAGCTGTAGTCAAGGGTTGGGGGCATCACAGGTTGTACGTGGATTTCCTGTTGCACAGGGGTCAGCACCTTTCACCCCTGTGTTATTCGGGGTTCAGGTGTAATACAGAGGCAAAAGCAAAAATACACACGCCTGTTCGTACGAAGTTCAGGAAAGCTAATCGGCGCTGGCATGAAGTCAGAATAGGGAAGGCTGGCACCCACTGGGAGGGGCACGGGGGCACGCAGGTCTGGTTGGTGAAATGCAGAGCGGCAGTAGAGGCAGTGCCGTTTCAGAATCTGCTCCTCTCTCTCCAGGGAGGGATACAAGACGTTCTTCAACACCCTCCACCAAAACAACATCCCCCTCTTCATCTTCTCCGCGGGCATCGGCGACGTCCTGGAGGAAATCGTCCGGCAGAGGAAAGTGTTCCACCCCAACATCCACGTGGTGTCCAACTACATGGATTTCGACGAAGATGTGAGCCACGTCAAATCGCTTTGGGCTGGGAGTGGACGTGGGCGGGAGCCACCGGCCAGGGCACTTCACCCTAAACGTTAGCCCTAACCCGGGAGGAGAGGGAGCGGAAGGCGGGCTGGCTTCTGTGTCCGCGGGCAGTCCTCACCTATTTACTTATGCCCTCTAAAGACAGTCACTTTTTTTTTTTTTTTTAAATATATTTTTATTGATTTTTTTACAGAGAGGAAGGGAGAGGGAAGGATAGAGAGTTAGAAACATCGATGAGAGAGAAATATCCATCAGCTGCCTCCTGCACACTTCCCACTGGGGATGTGCCTGCAACCGAGGTACATGCCCTTGACCGGAATCGAACCTGGAATCCTTCAGTCTGCAGGCCAACGCTCTATCCACTGAGCCAAACCAGTCAGAGAAGACAGTTACTTTTGAAGGACCTGCTCTTTGGTGTTTGGCCAACGGCTCTCTGCCATGGGGTCCAGCAGGCCCCACGTCACTGTCACGTCATGCGCCGTCCTGGGTACTCCAGGGCTTGTTTTTCTAGGGCCAGCGGTGGGCTGCTCTGATTTGCCCACGTTCTAACTTTTTCCCCTTAAAACCAGTGGCCGGAATTTCCATGCCTTTGTCCTGTGGCTAATCAGGGAAGGCTTAGTGCACACACAGCCTGAACGGGCTTCATGCTTCCACCAGAGTAGGTGACCAGCCATATTGGATGGCTCCTACCCTGTTTCCCCGAAAATAAGACAGTGTCTTATATTAATTTTTTCTCCCAAAGTCGCGCTAGGTCTTATTTTCGGAGGATGTCTTATTTTCGGGGAAACACGGTCGTTGCGGAAAAGTTTAAACCAGGAACCATAAGCGTTATCATCTGTGGCTGGACGGGCCACACAGCCTCTGTGGCAGCCACCCCCCGCTCCCGGCTCTGCCGTGCCAAAAGCAGCCGCAGGCAGACGGGAACCAACAGGCAGGTGTGTGGGCCAGCAAAACCTAATTTACAAAAATAGGCCACGTTCGACCCGCAGGCCCTCCCTTGCCGACTCCTGGCTTAGACCACAAGGCGGCTTTGGCGTTGCCTGGGGCTTGTAGGATTTCCCTGTCTCTTTGGCAGAGGCAGGGGTACACCGGAGCCGGACGGGTCCCTGGAGCCCTTCGGTGGGTCTCTCTTCTCGGTCCTTCAGGGTTTCCTGCGGGGCTTCAAGGGCCAGCTCATTCACACGTACAACAAGAACAGCTCCGTGTGCAGGAACTCCAGCTACTTCCAGCAGCTGCAGGGCAAGACCAACGTGCTGCTGCTGGGGGACACCATGGGGGACCTCACCATGGCCGACGGCGTTCAGGGCGTGGAGAACATTCTCAAGATCGGCTTCCTCAACGACAAGGTAGGTGGGGGGCCGGGGCCGCCGCCTCCGTGGCTGCTTCCCCCGCAGCTTCTGTCCACGTGCTCACCGGACACCCGTGTGCTGCCCCCGGCACTCAGTATTGGAGGCACAGAGGTAAGACAGGAGGCGTGTTCTTCGGGAGGAAATCCCGAATCTCATAGGAAGATGAGGTAGCCAGCAATGAACGCGCGAGAGCCAGCGCTGAGTGAGTTCAGAGGCAGGGGAATGCCAGGCCCCTCATTGGGGTCCCACTGAGTGCTCAGCGTGTGTGGGGTCATTAACCCCTCAGTCCTCACAGCAGCCGGTGAGGGAGTGACGGCTGCACCATTTTACAGCCGAGGAAGCCGGCGAGGAGGCTGAGTCACCTGCCCGGGGGACGCTGGGGAGGAAGAGGCGGGCTGGTGGCTGGTCCTCCCAAGTCAGACCTGTCGAGCATCACTGCGATGGGAGACGCCGGGTTTCAGGATGCGGGTCCCCAGTTTAGAGAGAAAAACACTCGCACAGAGGCCGGCGGGTGGAAGCAGGACGGCCGGCGGGGGCCGCGGCACGGTGTGGATGGAAGGCTCCCCGCATGCTGGAGCCTGTGGAAATCCAGTCCACGTGGATTAGAGGTCACGTCTGGCTTTTAAGTTTTAATCCTGGTCGCTGACCTTCTGGCCCCAGAGTTTATTGTGGCAGCCTGTGCCCATTGCCATCTGCGGCTCCAAGAGGCAGGCCCTGTGACCTTGAACTCCTCTAGGGCCGTGGTCGGCAAACTCATTAGTCCACAGAGCCAAGTATCAACAGCACGATGACTGAAATTTGAGAGCTAAAATTTTAAAACTTCTAACGCCACTTCTTCAAAATAGACTCGCCCAGGCCATGATATTTTGTGGAAGGGGCCAAAGAGCCGCATGTGGCTCGTGAGCCACAGTTTGCCAACCACGGGTCTAGGGGATCTGTGGCTTGAATGCACTCCTCCCCCCACTCCAGGTGTTTGAGAGGCCAAGGCAGTGGGCAGAGGCGGAGGCCGTGGGCGGAGGCGGTGGGCAGAGGCAGTGGTCGGAGGCGGAGGCGGTGGGCAGAGGCGGAGGCAGAGGCGGTGGGCGGAGGCAGAGGCAGTGGTTGGAGGCGGAGGCAGTGGGCAGAGGGTGGGCATTTCAGGGACTCTCCGTCTCCCCTCCCCCTCCCCGGGCAGGTGGAGGAGCAGCGGGAGCGCTACATGGCCTCCTACGACATTGTGCTGGAGAAGGACGAGACGCTGGACGTGGTCAACGGGCTGCTGCAGCACATCCTGCACCAGGGGGACGGGGTGGAGACGTGGGGCTCCTGAGAGGCGGGCGCAGGGTGAGAGCGGAGGGAGGGGAGCCTCCGGGGGCCGCTCCGAGGTGAGCCTGGTGTGTGCAGAGGGCAGCTCAGGTCATCCCCTTGCTGCTGGGTCCGTACCCTCCCCTCCCCCTTCCCCTGGCACATTCTTGTGAGCTCTCCAAGGCCTGAGGGAGGCCCTGGCAGGTGGGAGGAGCAGAAGCCACTCCAGATGAGTCGGACCTGCAGGCTGTTTGCATTCCGGGGGTCGTGTGGTCCAGGATTCTGGTTTTCGGAAATGTTTAACGTGGGATGCTGTTCTTCAAACAAATCAAATGTGTAAAGTGGATCGAAATAAATGGAGAAACCAGAGCTGTTCTGATTTCGAGGTTTGGGGGGTGGGACAGAGCCTGTACCCGTTGGTCCTGGAGGTGCAGGAACCTCCCAAGAAGCTGCCAGGGATCCACAGAACGTGGTTTGGAAACCTCTGCATTAGCCCAGACGACGCTGTGAGCGCAGCCTGAGGATGTCTGCGGGGGTCGGGATGGCAGGCAGGCAGGAGCAGTTTGCCTTTATTCTGATGCAGCTGGTAAACTGGGAATTCAGTTGGGATCCGCTGGGTCTGGCCAGCCCTGTGTGCAGAGCCCTTTAGAAGTCCCCCCAAGGGGTCCATTGGGGTGTCGATTTTCCCTGATGCCCTTGATTCCTGTCCTTCCTTCCTCTTGCGGATCCAGGGCCACTAAAATGGGTGACGTAAGTGGGGGTGGGCGTGGGACCTCGGACCTGGAGGGAGAAGTCGCTCTGTGGCAAAGCAAACTAGAAGTAGTTTATGTTGTCTTGTCTTGTCTGTTCTTCAAAGTCTTTTCCCTTCTCCCCTCCCTGTTGACTTGGTGAGGAACTAGCTGAGCCCGGCCAGCGTGGCCCAGTGGTTGAGCATCAACCTCTGAACCAGAAGGTCACGGTTCAGTTCTGGTTCAGGCATTGCAGCTCGGTCCCCAGGAGGGGGCGTGTGAGAGGCAGCCTGTCAGATTCTCCCTCCTCATTGATGTTTCTTTCTTCCTCTTCCTTCCTCTCTGAAATCAATAAAAATACTTTTTCGAAAAGAACTAATTGACCTTTCTCTAGGGTGCCTTTTGAAGAAAATGTAGACCCACCACATTACCCTGTGTTTCCTTAGCCTGTCCTCAGACATCCGGCCCCTCACCCTTCCCATGGGTGCCAGGTTATTGGAAATGTTTATCTGGAGGAAAGCCTCGGGTCTGGGGGCTGGATCCTGTGCGGCACCTCCTGTGTGCGCCACTAAACCTCACAGCGACCCGGCAGGTCTAGTCTGCCGGTGGCCAAGGAAGGACCAGGAACGGCCACACCCCATGGCGAGGAGCTAGAGCGAGGGTAGGGTGTTTCTGGCCAAAGGGGGCCTGCATCCTGCCCCCCCGCATGGGTAGGTTTGGGGGAGGAGAGGTTTTCACCTAAGGCTGAGGGTAGCTGGTGTCAGGCCCTGAGGTGCCTCCGGATGCTTTGGGACAGGAAGTGGCCATGGGGAGGTCACGTCTCAGGATCCTGGGCAGGAAGGAAATCTTGAGGGGCAGATCAGTGGCCAGTCCCATCGTTTTCTCTCCTGAGCACCTCCTCCACCCTGGTCCCGGGATGCTCTGGGTCATCCCCATGGCAGGGCAGGTGAGGGCCGATGGCCTGGCTGGTGGCTGCTGCCAACACCTCCCCCAGGACCCGGAGATTCACTCAGTTCCTTTCCTGTGACCAGAGGGAGGACGGGCGGGTGGGAATGGCCTGCAGCCAGGAGCAGGGAGAGGTGGGAATGTCAGTTTTGGGAATGATCTAATGTGAGGGCGGAGTCCGGCCTCTGATTTATCTCTGAGCTTTGTGTGTGGTGTTTGAGGTCACAGACCACGTCTTTCCATTCACTCGGGACAGTGAGGAGACAGGGATCATCTGTCCGCACCTCCCCTGCAGGCCCCTCTCGGTGGTCACCCGCTCCCTGCCCAGGGGCTCCCTGCCCAGGATTAGGGCCGAGGGACTGGACTGGGGAGGCAGGAGGCTCTGGAGGGAGGAGACGGAGACCCAGGGACAGCCTTGCGCTCGGGCGCGGGCGCGGGCATGGCCTGCTCGGTTCCCCTCCTCTCAGTCCTTGGGTCTCAGAGCCTCCCCAGGGAAAGACCACTCCGGAGGCCTCTGGTTGGGTCTTTTATTCGTCACCGAGGAGAAGGAGATCCGACACCAGCTGAGCTCTGAGTGCAGAGCTCTGCCCCTCCCCTCCCCCCGGCCCCAGTGAGCCCTTCCGGGTTTATCTCGGCTCTCAATCATTTCATAGCTCCAAGACCCACCTCCTCACCCTGCCCTTTTATTCCTTCCTCCCCCTCAGCCCCTCAGCCGCCTTCAGGGATGAAAGGTGACACGGCCCAGCCCGGACCTGCAGCTCCCTGAGGTACCCAGCAGCGCTGGGGGGGGGACAGACGGACGGGGACGGCGCAGGGGCAGGGGCCTGGGGTGGTAGGGCTGCTCTCCTGAGGCTCCCCTTCCTCTGGAGCCAGCTGTGGCTGTGGGAGGAAGACGGGGTTCTGCCAGCCCCGGCCCACGCCCCTGGGGAGCTGCCATGACGGGAAGGGGGCAGGCCTGGGGATGGTGAGGAAAAGGACAAACAGGGAGTGTGGGGAAATAGAAATGATTGGCTTGGCCGTGCTCCGTGGTGACGCGGAGGGGCGGGTGGGGGCCAGCAATGGCCCATCCAGCCCCAGCCTCCCCCAGCCCCCAGACTGGCTGTGGCTCCGAAGGAGCTGGTGCGGGGCCGGAGGAGAAGCACGGGGAGAGGTCTGCGCTGTGGATCGTGCTCGGGCTGGTGGGGAGACCGGGCTGTCTCTGACCACTGAGATGCTCTCAGACCTCGTCCCCGCAGAGGGGGGGGGGTGACTGCTGGGCGTCCCCCCTCTGCCCACGGTGCCCGGACGCGGGCGTCGGTGTGGGGCCCGGCCCGGGCTCGGCGCTCACAGCTCCTCGTGAACCCGCTCCTGGTCCTCGTCGGACTTGAGTTTGAGCTCCTCGGCGGTGATCTTGCCGTCCTGGTTGCGGTCCTGGTTCTGGAACATGTCGCCGATGGTCTTGTCCGCGTCCTGCCCCGGCATGAGGCGGCCCTTGCCCTCGCTGACCTGAGCCCTGATGAAGGTGGAGAACTGGGGAAAGGAGAGCGGGGCGGGGGCGGGGGCGTGAGCCTCGTGCCGGAGCAGCTTTGGGGACCTTGGCAAGGGCCCCAGGGGATGCCGAAACCGGCTTGGCTCTGGATATAGCATTGGACTGAAAGGTCCCCGGTTTGATTCCGGTCAAGGACATGTACGTTGGTTGCAGGCACATCCCTGGTAGTGGGTGTGCAGGAGGCAGCTGATAGATGTTTCTCTCTCATCAATGTTTCTACCTCTCTATCCCTCTCCTTCCTCTCTGTAAAAAATCAATAAAATAATGCCGAGACCGGTTTGGCTCAGTGGATAGAGCATCGGCTTGGGGACTGAAAGGTCCCTGGTTCGATTCCGGTCAAGGGCATGTGCCTTGGTTGCGGGCATATCCCCAGTGGGGGGTGTGCAAGAGGCAGCTGATCAATGACTCTCTCTCATTGATGTTTCTAACTCTCTCTCTCCTTTCCTCTCTGTACAAAATCAATAAAATATATTTAAAAAATTAATAAAAAATATATTAAAAAATATATATATATATATATTTTTTTGTTTGTTTGTTTGTTTTTGTTTTGTTTTTTAAAAGGACCCCAGGGGAGGCCAGCCAGCGAGGACGGAGGGGAGGAGCCGGGGCTGGGGTCCTGTGCGGGGCCAGGGCCGCCCGTGTGTGGGAGAGACGCAGGGACAGGAACCGACAGCTCAGGGACCCGGCAGAGGGGCGGGCACACGGGCCCAGACAGAGGGGCGGGCACACGGGCCCAGACAGGAGGGCAGGCATGCACCCGTTCCTGCTAGAGGCCACCCTGCCAGGTGAGGGTGTGGGAAGGGCTCCTGTGAGGGTCGCATCTTCACCCACCTCCTCCGGCGGGACCTCGCCGTCTTTGTTGAGGTCCAGGTCTTCAAACAGGTTGGCGGGCGGGTCCTGGTGCCACACAAACAGGTAGCCTTCGGGCAGCCCCTCCTCCCGGGACATCAGCTCCACCTCGAACAGCAGCACGGCGCTGCCCGGGACCCCGCGGGCTGGCGGGGGGAGAAGGGAGGGCGTCCCGGTCAGGCCAGGGGCTGGGCCTGGCGGTGCAGCCCGCCCGCCCGGGGTGTTCCCAGCTCGCAGGCCTGTCACCCCGCGGGGAGGCTGGAGGGGGCGTGGGTGTTTACGGAACCAGCCGAAAGGGGCCAACGGGGTGGGGGGGTCAGGCCAGACTGCCCCTCACCTCCACTCTCCCCGTGTGCCAGGTGCGGGGGCACCACGAGCTGCCGCCTCTCGCCCACGCACATGCCCTGCAGGCCTGTGTCCAGCCCTTCGATCACCTTGTTGGCCCCCAGAGTGGCCTCCTGGGGGGCCCCGTAGTCGTGCCTGGGGGAGGAGCAGAGTCCCAGGTCAGTGCCCTTCCTCGCCCCACAGTTCACAGCCCTCCGGTGCCCCCCCCCCCCCCCCTCCACGCTGCAGAGTGCGGGGCCGGGCTGAGAAGACACCCTTCTCATCCTGCCATTGCCCCTAAGACGTGGCCTCGAGGGCTCAGCTCCCCTGCGGCTAGCTCCACCCTCCCTTCCCCTCTCTGCCCTTATGCTCCCCCATGGATGGGAACTTACGGAGAAGGAAGGGGGTGCTATATGGAGGTCTCCCCTCCCCTAGTCCCACCCACCCGCCCCGCCCCGCCCAGACCCACGAGGAGAAGAGCCGGGTGCCGTCCAGCAGGGAGCAGTTGTAGTGGTAGCGCACGAAGTCCCCGGACTTGGCGGTCTCGTTGCAGGCCTCGGCCGGCCGGCTCAGGGTCCTGATCTCCACGGGGTCCGCGGGGTTATGGAAGTCGATGACGTGGACGTCGAATATCAGCACGGCCGAGCCAGGGATCTTGTCTCCTGGGACCAGAACGGGGAGAGGGTCAGCGTGGCGTCTGGGGGGGTGGTGGGGGTGGTGGGGGTGGAGCCTCAGGGTCTCCGTGAACCTGCCCTGGGGTCTCCCGCGAGAATGGGGTGGGCTGTTTGTCCACATAATCAGGTCTCCTCGGGGGCAGGGGAGGGAGGGGGCCTGCCAGTGAGAAAGCCCTCATACCGTGCAGCTCCGGGTTCCTCACCTGCTGGCCAGGGCGACGAGTCCCATTGTATAGGCGAGGACGCCGAGGCGTCCAACAGAGCTGGGCCTCAGCTCCGGGCCTCTGCTCCCCAGGGCTCTGGGGTTCCCGCCCTCCCATAACCACCCCCTCCCCGCACTCAGCGCACGTCCCCAGGAGGGGAGAGAGGTGGGGGCACTGCCCGGGGGAGAGGATGGAGTCGGTGTGGCAGGACCGTGCGGGTGGCCGGTGTTGTGAGGCGCGGAGGGGTTCAGGGGAGGCGCGGAGGGACCCAGGCCTACCGGTCCCGTTCTCCCCGTAGGCCAGGTGCGGGGGGATGGTGATCCGCCGGCGCTCGCCCACGCAGGCGCCCTGCAGCCCCTGGTCCATGCCCGGGATGATGTAGCCCTGCCCCACGTAGGTGTTGTACGTGTGGTTGCGGGAGTAGCTGCCGGGCAAGGTGGGGAGGCCAGCGAGGGAGTCAGGGCGGCCCCTGCCCCGGCCGACAGCGCAGAGCGCCCCCGGGAGGCGGGGGGACCCCAGCTCCTTGCCTCCCGCCCAGCCCCAGCCTCCAGGCTCGGGCCGCCCCGGACCTGGAGTCGAAGAGGGTGCCGTCCATCAGCGAGCCGTTGTAGTGGTAGCGCATGAAGTCCCCGGCCGCCGCCCTCCGGACGCAGCCCGGCGGGAGCTCCAGCGTCTCCAGCTGCACCGCGTCCTTGGGGTTGTGGACGTCGATGAGCAGCACGTGGAAGACCAGGGAGGCCTGCGGGGGGATCACAGTCCCTGGGGACGGGACAGGCTTCAACCATACGGGTGGGGAGCAAGCCCGGCTCCTCCGGGACCCAGGAGGGCCTCTGGGTGCCAGCCCTGCTCCCCTGGGCCTTTCCCTGGCCCTCACAGCCCTGCTCCTGGCTCCCCCTGTGAGGCCGGAGCTGGGTACGTCCCCGGGGCCCCCCATCAGCTTGTACGGGCCTTTGTGTGAATCAGAACACAACCCCCTGCCGAAGCCGGTTTGGCTCAGTGGATAGAGTGTTGGCCTGCGGACTGAAGGGTCCCAGGTTCGATTCCTGTCAAGGGCATGTGCCTTGGTTGCGGGCACATCCCCGGTAGGAGGTGTGCAGGAGGCAGCTGATCGATGATTCTCTCTCATCGATGTTTCTGGCTCTCTATCCCTCTATCCCTCTCTCTTCCTCTCTGTAAAAAAAAAAAAAAAAAAAAAAAAATATATATATATATATATATATATATATATATATATATATATATATACACACACACACACACACACATATTAAAAAAAAGAAAAAAGAACACAGCCCCCTTCTGAACGAGAGGACCACCGAGGGCTGGATTTCACTCCCAGGCGCCTCCTCGGCGGGTGCCCTGTGCGGTACGCACCCCGGACGTGTGTGCTGCAGCCGCTTCGGAGAACGCCCGTGCCCTTACCGTAGCCCTTCTCGCCGTAGGCCAGGAACGGCGGGATGATGATCTTCCTTCTCTCCCCAGGGCACATGCTCAGCAGCCCCTGGTCCATGCCCTTGATGAGCCAGCCAGAGCCCACGTAGGTGTCGTAGGTGCCGCCCCGGCTGTAGCTGCGGAGAGGGAGGCAGGGGCGATGCCGCCGGAGGAGGGAGGACAGACCCCGGACGCCCCCCCCCCCCCCCCCCCCGAGCCCGGGTCCCCGGCGCCCCGGCCCGCCGCCCTCACCTGCTGTCGAAGGCGGTGCCGTCCAGCAGCGTGCCGTTGTAGTGGTAGCGGACGAAGTCGCTGTCCTGGACCATGCGGGGGCAGCGGGGCGGCCGCAGCAGCGTGCTCACCTGCACGGTGTCCTCCTTGTTCCACACGTCCAGCAGGACCACGTCGAAGTAGAGGGTGGCGTCCGGGGGGATGAGGCCCGCTGTGAGGGCCGGGCGGCGGGCGCTCACGCTGGTGCAGCCCCCGGCATCCTGCTTGGCCTTCCCCTCCTCATCTCTGGTTTCCCTCCTTCCCAGCCCTCCTCACCCACACCGCTGCTGCCGCCCAGCCTCCTCACCCACACCGCTGCTGCCATCCCCCGGCCCGGGCCCAGCCTCCTCACCCACACCGCTGCTGCCATCCCCCGGCCCGGGCCCAGCCTCCTCACCCACACCGCTGCTGCCATCCCCCACCCGGGGCCCAGCCTCCTCACCCACACCGCTGCCGCCGCCCAGGCCCCTCACCCACACCGCTGCTGCCGCCCAGCCCCCTCACCCACACCGCTGCTGCCATCCCCCACCCGGGGCCCAGCCTCCTCACCCACACCGCTGCCGCCGCCCAGCCCTCCTCACCCACACCGCTGCTGCCATCCCCCGGCCCGGGCCCAGCCCCCTCACCCACACCGCTGCTGCCATCCCCCACCCGGGGCCCAGCCTCCTCACCCACGCCGATGCTGCCATCCCCCGGCCCGGGCCCAGCCCCCTCACCCACACCGCTGCTGCCATCCCCCACCCGGGGCCCAGCCTCCTCACCCACACCGCTGCCGCCGCCCAGCCCTCCTCACCCACACCGCTGCTGCCATCCCCCACCCGGGGCCCAGCCTCCTCACCCACGCCGATGCTGCCATCCCCCGGCCCGGGCCCAGCCCCCTCACCCACACCGCTGCTGCCATCCCCCACCCGGGGCCCAGCCTCCTCACCCACGCCGATGCTGCCATCCCCCGGCCCGGGCCCAGCCTCCTCACCCACGCCGATGCTGCCGTAGCCGAGGTGGGGCGGCACGATGAGGCGTCTGCGCTCGTTGACACACATGCCCATGAGGCCGCGGTCCATGCCGGTTATGAGACGTCCCACCCCCACCACGATGGCCACCAACGTGCTGCGGTCATAGCTGGGGGACGGAGGGGACAGAAGGGATACAGCGGGTCCGGGTGTGCACAGGTGAGGGTGCACACAGCCAGGTGCTCCCCTCGGCGCACCGTCACATACAGGCCGAGGTACACGCGCACACACACACACACACACGCGCACACGCGCATACGCATGCACAAGCCCCTCTGTACACAGGTGTAGATCAGCATGCTCCTCACCTCCCTCGGAGTCAGCCACAACCCCCCCCTCATGTAAGAGGCTGGCAGTTACAAAAAGCCAGTCTCCTCCCTTCCCCCCCCCCCTGGAGCCCGGGGCTCTCCTACCCCCGGGAGAGGGCTGGGCGCCGGCGCCTGCTGCTCTCTGTTGGCAGCAAAGGCGCGCTCAGCGCTGCATGGAGGCGAAGAGGAGCATCTATGGAGCCGTTAGCGTGTGCCGGGGACATGCCTGGTGGTGATCTTATTTAATTCCTTCCCCGTGAGGCAGGCACGACTGTTTTCATTTTTCTTCCGAGTCGAAGTCACTCACTCAAGGTCACGGCTAACATGTGGTATGCGCCCACGCCAAAGCCCCGTTTGTGCCTCCGCACCAGGGACTCACTCCGCCAAGGAGGAAAGGAAGGGGCAGCAGGGCTGGTGGGGGTACGGATTGGTTTTAGCTCTGAAAGAGCCTACTCTAAAAGTGCCATGGCTTGTATTTATTTTAGTACTGTTTTTTCCTTTTGTTTTCAGAAGTTAGGGAGGCTGGGGGATTGACCGAAGGGGGCCACGGGTTGTGAACGTTTTCCAGAATCAGCCTGGCTCTCCCGAGTCCCCACCAGGGAAGTCGTCGCCCAATGCACCCCTCCCCCACCCCCACCCGCCCCTCCACCCTGCTCCTGGCGGTCAGGGGCTGTGCTCCCAGCTACCGCCTGCTCCTCGCTTTGCCTACTGAGCAGGTTTTATGACGGGAGGCTGCTGTGAGGGCCCCCGGCACCAGCTAAGCATCATCAGGGCCTCTGCTTCTCCCAGATCGAGGCTGATGAGTCTTGAACCTTTCGGACTTCCAGGCACTGAGTCAAGTCCACTTTCATTCATCGCCTGGAGTCCTCTCATCAGTCTTAGGAAGGAGGGACTGGACTTTTTCAGATGGTTTGTGATCTCTATGTTTCAGATAAATCCAGCAAAGCTTTAAGAGGCAGCCTTTCTTATCCATGGCCACGGCCTGGCTTGGAAACCAGGGTCTCGGACCCTGGAGTTTGTGTTCTTACAATACACAGCCCACCCCCAAAGCCGTGGCCGCCATTTCCCGTGGGAGGAGCTGTGTTTGGGGGGAGGGTCTAAGAAGCACTGACTTCTTGGGGTGTGGTGGGGGGTTGTGAGTGTGTGTGTCACGGAGACCTATGGTTTAACCAAGACTGACAAGCAGCCCCGCCCTGCCCCCACCAACAAAAGTGGATTAGCGCCGGAGCCGGGTTGGCTCGGTGGATAGAGCGTCGGCCTGCAGACTAACGGGCCCCGGGTTCAATTCCGGTCAAAGAGCATGTACCTCGGTCGCAGGCTGTTGGAGTCCCACCCTGGTTGGGAGGCAACCAATCGGTGTGTCTCTCTCATGTCATGTTTCTGTCTCTCTGCCTCTCCCCCTCCCTTCCATTCTCTCTAGAAATCAATGGAAACAGTATTCCTGGGTTTGGGGGGAAATGTGGACTTGTCGGAGCAGAAGCCAGCCTCTGGAACGCCACGGCTGGCAAGATGGGTGGCAGCCCTGGCCGGGTGGCAGGAACTAAGATGGAGGGAGGTGGGGGTGCAGGTAGCCCTGGAGAGGGAGGGATACACTCCCCCCTCCCCGGGAGCCTGGGACAGCAGGCCGGACATGTGGACAGCTGTGGTCCCTACCGCCCAGATTCACCCAACCTCATTATAACGCAGCTGCTTGGCCGCTGGCTGCTGCTAACAGCCACCCCCACCCGCAAAAGAAAGTTCTCCCTCTTCTCTGACCACAGCGGCACTGAAACCCGCAGATGGAAGCCGAAGGGAGTCAGGGTGGGTGGGAACGGAGGGGTCCCAGGCTGCTCACATGCACCAGGGACCACGCTCTTCCCCCCAACCCTGTAGGCTTAGAACAGCCCCCTCCTCCTGTCCCTAAATAAAGGGCTGGAAAGAGAGCAGTTCACCTTGACTTTCAAGCTCTTTGGGGGGAGTTTGGGGAGCTCGAAACCAGGATCCTCGGAGAGGCAAAGGTTTGAAATTGAGAGCAGAAGACACATCCCTGGGGAGATAGATGGGTGTCTGGGAGACCAGCCCCACCCCCACCCAAGGCGCTGTGTACGGGGTTTGAGGGGGATCAGGGGATGCAGAATGCAGACACGGCTTAACGGGGCACCCAGGGGACCCCAGGAACTAAGGGCGCCCGGCTGCGGGGGAAGAGGAGCAGGGAGCCTGCCCCCCCCCTCCCGGCCCGTTTACCTGGAGTCAAACTTCTTGCCGTCCTCGAACGTGCCGTTGTAGTGGTAGCGCACGAAGTCCCCGCGCTGCACCTCCCGGGGGCAGGCCTTGGGGATGTGGTACCGCTCGATGACCACGTCTTCCAGGGGGCCCCCGGCCGGGCTGGCGCGGCCCAGGCCCCTGCCCACGGCCAGGGCCAGCAGCAGCAGCGGCAGCAGCATCCGGGGCGGCGGGGGGCGCCGGAGGGAGCGGCCGCGGGACATGGTGCCCGGAGCGGGGATGGCCCGGGGCGGGGATGGATGGCCCGGAGCGGGGATGGATGGCCCAGAGCGGGGTTGGATGGCCGGGAGCGGGGATGGCCGGCGCAGAGGGAGGGCGAACAGGAGAGGCTCCGCTCCCGGCCTTGGCTCCCCCTCTTCCTGTCTCCACTCCCACCCCGCCCGGCGGGTCCACGTGGAATGGGGGCGGGGGCGGTGAGCTGGCAGCCGGCGGGGGTGGGCTGGGAGGAGGGGGCCCGGCGGGAGCCCTGGGGACCGGGAAGGCGCCACAAAGGGCTCCAGACTCCCCCCGTTCACCCCCACCCGGGGCGAGAGGCCTGGCCGGGGCGGGAGGGAGGGAGGCTGCGGAAAGATGAGAAGTGGGAGCTGACTCCAAACCCAAAAAAAGAAAAGAAAAAGTTGTGTTGGTGTGTTTTCCCCCTTGGAGCCCCCGGGGTCCTAACGCCGGACCGCCGGACCGAGGCATCCCTTGCTCCTTTCGCTGGCACCCCCAAACCAGAAGCCTCTTCTGGGGAGGCTACAGAATCCGAGGGTGTCTCGGGGCTCCCCCATCCCTACTGTCCCAGGACGAGGAGATAACTTTGTTCTGCAAAACCTGGGCTGCCCGGGCTTCCTGTCGGGGGATGGAGGAGGGGGCGGAGTGGAGGGTGAGCCGGGCAAGACCAGGTGTGGCCTGCCCGCTGCGGGATGGGGGGACACTGGGATGGGGGGTCACTGGGAGCGACCCCTTCGTGACTGGGGGTGCGGCGTGTGCCAGAGGGGCGCTGTGATGGGCGGAAAGCCCGGCCCCAGGGCGCGGGCAGCCTAGAGGGCGGTGGCACATCCCTCACGATCCTAAGGTGGGTGGACAGTGTGGAGAGGAGCTTTCTGGGCTCCCCATCCTTAAGGGGAGCGTCCCCCCATCTGTCGAGGGAAAAGCCTAAGAACAGGGGGGCGGGCTACGTAGAGGACTCGGGACCCCATGGCGCCCACCGAAAAGAGGGGAGACGCAGCCCTCTGGCCCTCCGGGGACCTGACCGAGGCCACGACCCTGCAGGAGGCCCGAGGCCCGGCGCTAAGACCCAGCGGGCACGCCGGCCCGGCCCCTGCCCCGCCCGCCCGCCCCCAGGCCCGGCCCGGACAGCGCGCGGCTGGAGAGCCGCGGGCGGCGGCGCGGGGATGGGGCGGGCGGCCTGGGCGCTGCTGTGGCTGCTGCTGGGCGGCTCGGCGGCGCAGTACGAGAAGTACAGCTTCCGGGGCTTCCCGCCCGAGGACCTGATGCCGCTGGCCGCCGCCTACGGGCACGCGCTGGAGCAGTACGAGGGCGAGAGCTGGCGCGAGAGCGCGCGCTACCTGGAGGCGGCGCTGCGGCTGCACCGGCTGCTGCGCGACAGCGAGGCCTTCTGCCACGCCGACTGCAGCGGGGCGCCCGCGCCCGGCCCCGCCGCCGCCCCCGGGCCCCCGCCCGGCCCCGCCGGGGGCCCCGGCGACGAGTGGGCCCGCGAGCTGCGGCTCTTCGGCCGCGTCCTGGAGCGCGCCGCCTGCCTGCGGCGCTGCAAGCGCACGCTGCCCGCCTTCCAGGTGCCCTACCCGCCGCGCCAGCTGCTGCGCGACTTCCAGAGCCGCCGGCCATACCAGTACCTGCACTACGCGCACTTCAAGGTGGGCGCCGCCCCCGTCCCCCCGCCCCGGCCCCATCGGCCCCATCGGGCAGCGGGCGTCGGGTGTCCCGTCGGGTGCCCCGTCGGGTGCGGCGGAGCAGTGGGTGACACCGGTCCCTAAGCCCCTGGTGCGTTCACTCCCGGGCGGCGGGCTCAGGCCCCGCTGACCCACCCTGACCCCGCCCCGCCCCGCCCCGCAGGCTAACCGGCTGGAGAAGGCGCTGGCGGCGGCCTACACCTTCCTGCAGAAGAACCCCAAGCACGAGCTGACCACCAAGTATCTCAGCTACTACCGCGGCCTGCTGGACGCCGCCGAGGAGCCCCTCACCGACCTGGAGGCGCAGCCCTACGAGGTGGGTGCAAGGGGAGGGCTGGCCCTGAGGCTCCTCCCCCACCCCCCCACCCCTAGGACTTGGGGAGGAAGGGAGTTGGGGGAGGGGGTGCCTGACCCTCCCCTCGCTGCCCTCCAGGCCGTGTTCCTCCGGGCGGTGAAGCTCTACAACAGCGGGGACTTCCGCAGCAGCACGGAGGACATGGAGCGCGCCCTGGCCGAGTACCTGGCCACCTTTGCGCGGTGCCTGGCCGGCTGCGAGGGGGCCCACGAGCAGGTGGACTTCAAGGACTTCTACCCCGCCATAGCAGGTACCCCGCCCCAGCCCGGGGGCGTCCTTCCGGCCACCACGGGGTCGGCCCGGAGCAGCTCCCACCCCTTCACACAGCTATGGAGCGCCTACCCAGGGCTGGGGAGGCGGTCGGAGTCCTCCGGTCCCCGGGAGTGCGGAGGGTGCAGGCAGCTCAGAGAGGCGGACCGGGTAACGGATCCCCCGCCACTGGGTGCAGAGGGCTGCAGTCTGGAGCGGCCAGGGTGCTGGGCCCCGGGGGAGAGAGGCCGTGACATCCCAGAAGGGCCTGGGAGGTGGGGTTCACAGGCTTTGGGGCAGAGGTCAATGCAGGTGCAAAGGTGCCCCCCCCACGCCCGCCCCAGATGGGAAACAACAGCCCAGCAGCTTGTGGCCAGAAATCACACCTAGTCCCTAACTGCAGGGGCCCCTCAGGGCTGTCTGAGCTTTTTAATCTGGGTGTCAGTGAGGCTCCCACACCTCACCTGCCACCCTCCCGGAGAGCCGAGCTGTGGGTGTCCGTCAGCCCTGTCCGCAGTAGTCTGTCTCCCTCAGCATCGCTTATCCCAGCCGCCAGGTCTCCGGTGATGGCAGCGGCTCTGCAGGCAGCGCTGGGGGGTGGGGGGGGCGTCTTCTGCGTCACCCCCTTGGTGGGACGGAGCTGTTCAGCACACCACCAGCGTCTCACCCCAGCTTCTCCCCAACCCCCGCCCAGATATTTTCGCAGAATCCCTGCAGTGCAAGGTGGACTGTGAGGCCAACCTGACCCCCAACGTGGGCGGCTACTTCGTGGAGAAGTTCGTGGCCACCATGTATCACTACCTGCAGTTTGCCTACTACAAGCGTGAGCCTCCTGAGGGCTGAGGGTGGGTGGGGAGCGGAGAGCACTGCGCTGGGAGCATCACAGAGTCAGGGGGAGCTGTTCCTCAGAGTTCAGGGCTATTGGGGGGGGGGGCCCTCGATCAGGTGGGGGTGGGGCGGGTGAGAGGCTGAGGGAGAGACAGGGAGCAGCCTCAGGGTCAGTGACTAGCTAGCCCACGGCTGCACCGCACCTGACAGTTTACCAAGCCCTGTCACATCCATTTATCTCACTTTATCCTCTCACCCACCTCCTGCAGAGGACATTGCTGGGCCCATTTTTCTTTTTCTTTTTTCTTTCTTTTAAAAAAATATATATTTTATTGATTTTTTACAGAGAGAAAGGAAGAGGGATAGAGAGTTAGAAACATCAATGAGAGAGAAACATCGACCAGCTGCCTCTTGCACACCCGCTACTGGGGATGTGCCCGCAACCAGAGTACATGCCCTTGACGGGAATTGAACCCGGGACCTTTTAGTCCGTAGGTTGGCACTCAGTGGATACACTGAGCCAAACTGGTTTCGGCTGGACCCATTTTTCAGATGTGGACACTGAGGCTTACATAGAGGGCCCGGGGCCGTTAGTCACAAAGCTAATAAGACGTAGCACCAGAGCCCTGGCCGGTGTGGCTCAGATGGTTGTGCGTCAACCTATGTGCCAAAAGGTTGCTGGTTCAATTCCAGGTCAGGGCACAGGCCCAGGTTTTGGGTTTGATCCCCAGTATGGGGTGTGTGATTGATGTTTTGGTCTCACATAGTTATTTCTCTCTCTCACTCTCCCTTTGTCACTAAAAATAATATAAAATATTTTTTTAAATCTTATGAAAAATGAAGTACCCCCAGGACTTAAGGCTTCCCTCACTTGAGGGAAATCCTGGCCCCAAGTGGGGGCTGCGATGGACAATCTCTAGGGTTCCTGCAATGCAGAGATGCCAAGATTCAGACAGAAGCCGGAGGTGGAGTGGAGGGGCCGCCCACCAGGAGCCAGGAGAACGCTAGTCGGTTTGGCTCAGTGGGTGAAGCGTCGGCCTGTGGACTGAAGGGTGAAGGGTCCCCGGTTGGATTCCCATCAGGAGCACATGCCCAGTTTGCCGGCTCAATCCCCAGTAGGGAGCATGCAGGAGGCAGCCAGTCAATGGTTCTCTCTCATCATTGATGTTTCTATCTCTCCCTCCCTTTCCCTTCCTTTTTGAAATCAATAAAAATATATTTCACACACACACACACAGCAGCCAGGAGACCCCTCATGGGTCCAGTTGGCTAAGAGATTGAGGGCAACACACTGGCCTCTCATTCCCCTCTGCATCATTCTACAGCGGTGCGACCTCTCTGTGCCTTGAATTTCTCATCTGTAAAATGGAAATGACAGCGACGTTGAGTCTTAAATGAGGGCCTGGCCCACATCAAGTGCCCAGTACATCCTAGCTTGCATTATTGTTGGGTGGGGTGAGACGCCCCAAGGTATTCTGGGAGACAGCTGAGGCACTGGTCTGAAGAGGGAGATAGGAGAGAGTGGGTGAGAGGGGGTCACCCCTAAAGGTGGAGGGGGGTGGGGTCACCCCTAAAGGTGGGCGGTGCAGGGCCACTCCTCACCCCTCCTCTGTCCGCAGTGAACGACGTGCGCCAGGCTGCCCGCAGCGCCGCCAGCTACATGCTCTTCGACCCCGAGGACGGCGTCATGCAGCAGAACCTGGTGTACTACCGCTTCCACCGGGCCCGCTGGGGCCTGCAGGAGGAGGACTTCCAGCCCCGGGAGGTGGGCCTTGCCTTCCAGGCCCTCAGGGGACCGTGTGGTTTGGTTAAAAAAAAAAAAAAAAAAAAAAAAAATTCTGGCTTCCTCAGAAGGCAGCATGGAAAGTGAAAAAAATATGGGTTGTGATTGGGGTCCTGGGTTCAAATCCAGCCCCGTCAGCTTTGTGGTCCTGGGAACACCGCTGACCCTTTCCTCACCGGCAAGATGGGGCTGGTCCTCCTCGCCGTACCAGCACCCCCTGGGGGGTGGGAGGTATACAAATGCCTGTTGGCTCCCGCCCGCTCCCTTCACACCCT